AGAAATATGTTAAAAGTATAATTAATATTAATTCTAATTTATTTGATTTATTACACTTTTACTTAGTATAATTATAGAGAAAATTATAAATAATTATAAAAATACATTTATTACTAATTAAAATTCCATATTTAATCTTGTTGGTGAGGTTTGTTGGAAGTTGGGATATATGTTCTTTTTAAAAATGAAGTAACTATTAATATAGATAAAATTGAAAAAAAAAAACTTTAATGCTAGCTATGTTGAAAATTAAAATTGACAAATACAATGAATCAAAGGTAATATAATTTTTTTATATTAATTGATATTAAAAAATAAAATTTAAATTTTATTTAAACAAACTGCGAGTGTTTGGGAAGAATGAGATTAAATAAAAACATAAGATTTGCAAACAGAAGACGTTAAGACATGAATCTAATTAAAAAAAAAAAGGTAAACAAAGTAGATCCGAAAGAAATATACACGAGGTTAAAAAGCAACGGTGGTGGCAACAACGCAGCACAAGGCTGCAGGCTTGATATTAGTGGATTGGGGGCGGGCAAAGGACTCCCCCGCCGCTCAACCATGGCTCCCACCTCCCTCGATTCTTTCCTTTGCACACGACCGGACGGTCTCATCACCACCACCCGATTGGACACCAAATCCAGCTCTTTTCTGCCATTCTATCTGTCTTCTCTTCTTCTTTGTCCCTCTTCTATTCGATCCATGAGCAAATCCCGATAATCCGATTGTTCCCCTCCTTCAACTGTTCCACCTTCTCCCCGCCCACTCTTTCTTTCCTTATTGGTGGCCGCTGGACTTGTCCCAGATCTGTCAACTCCCTCCTCCCCACAACCAATTAGCACCCAACAAAAATTTATAGCCTCCTCCATTAATTTTTAATTGGTTTAATTTACCTTTTTATTTTTTTAATATAAATTTTAGAGAGAAAATTTTAAATTTATAAAACATGAATAGTGTCAAAAAGTTGAAGCATTTACAAACTTCACCAAACATGCTCTAAGATCAAAAAAATTAGTTGATACAACATTTTGTTTTTACCGTATTATGTTTTTTTAAAGGATTTTTTTATTTGTATCTTAAATGCATATATTAAGAGCTTTTAAACAATAAAAATTAATATTTAATTTATTCATTATTTAATTAAATTTATATATGTGATAAATATATTAAAATTAATGTTAAGTTTTATATAAATTTATAATAAAAATATACTCTCATATGTATTTTAAAGATATAGATTA